TCCTCTCTCCTTCCTCCCTATCCCCTTATAAATTCCTCCCATTTCTATCTTTACCCTGGTTCTCAAAACCCAAGAAGACAATGGAGATGGAAGTGGTGGTGCCGGTTCCCGCAGTGGACTTCAACTTCGATAGCACATGTTCATCTCCATACATGACTGCTCCTTCAAGTCCTCAACGCTTTGGCAATTTCTTCTTCAGTGCCCCAACCAGCCCCACTCGTGCTTCTTCTTTCTATCGTGACGATGTATCTCATGCCACCAATTCTTCATCTGCGGTTCCTTTCCAATGGGAGGAAAAGCCGGGTACCCCCAAAAGAAAAGGTTTCGATGGCAGAGTCGACAGAGAAGATAAGAGCAACAATGACGATGATGATGGTGATGGGTGTGAAGATTTCGAGTTCAACTTTAGTGGGCAGTTAGAGAGAACTTCTTTGTCTGCTGAGGAGCTTTTCGATGGTGGAAAGATTCGGCCTCTGAAACCCCCGCCTGGCTATGAACAGTTTTCAAGTACCGCTTCTTCTCCGAGGTCTCCAAAGTCTCCAAGATCAACTACTTTTCGGAAGAAAGATGTTGATCCTTTCGAAGCAGCTATAGAAAAGACTCGTAGAAGAGAGGTAGTACTCAAAGAACCGCCACAACAGAAGCAAGAACAGGAGCAAAAGAACATACAATCACAACAACGAGGGAGAGAAAGAACTTCTGGTTCTTCGTCATCATCTGTAAGCTACAACTACGTTCACAAGAAAAGCAGATCTTTGTCTCCTTTTAGAGTGTCTGACATAATGTTCGAGCAAGAGGAAAATTCATCACAATCCGAAAAGACTATTGCTTCCACCACAAGCAATCCTAAATCTTACGTTTCTTCGATCCTGTCCGCTCTTTCATTTTCAAAAGGTAGCAGAAAATGGAAGTTGAAAGACTTTTTGTTGTTTAGGAGTGCGTCAGAAGGCAGAGCAACAAGTAAAGATCCCCTCAGGAAATATGCCCTGCTGTCTAAGAAAGAGCCAGAGGATGTCAAAGCTGCGAGCTTCCGCTCCACGGACAGCCTTGGTTCAGTGTCCAGTTCCAGGAGGAGAGCACCGGTTTCGGCTCACGAGTTGCATTACACGGTGAATCGGGCTGTCTCAGAGGAGATGAGGAGGAAGACTTTTCTGCCTTACAAGCAGGGCCTCCTTGGCTGCTTGGGGTTCAACCCTGGAATGCATGAGATTTCCAGGGGTATTGGGTCTTTGACACGTGGATGATCAAGATTTCCTGGTCTGGTGTTTCTTTGTTGAACATATAGTTTTCAAATTTCTTTCTTTCATGTTTCAAAAATGAAAAAAAAAAATTACATATGGTTATGAATCACAATCTATTTGTTTGTTTATACAGTGTCTCTATCCATGAATTGGACTCAAACTCAAATTGTATGAAATTACGTCACCGATAAAAAGGACAGCTATAGATTATATGTCTTAAACTACTTCTTTGTTGGATTTATTTGGGAAGTTATGTATTAATGTTTAAACAAAAGGCAAAGCCTTGTTCTTTACTGTTCATCATCAAGTAATTAACTTGAGGGCCTGCCAATAACATTTTCTTTCAACGTCAACTATAGCAGGTGCTAGTATTTCCTTTTAGCCAATATTAATGGCATTTTCTATATTTTAAAGCAGATGTTAAAGATCTGCTTGTCCATGGGCTGAGGAAGACTTTCAATGCATAGAAACCAGGCTAGTTTAAGCAGCCGCTGGTTTGGTTGAGTTGATCGGTTGGGTTCCAAATTGCATATCTGGTAGGTGGGAAGTTTCAATTTCAGATTAATCAATCTACACCGGGAAAATGGTTGCTTGATTAGTTTTTCTCTTTAATGAAAACATTTGTTTACGCATTCCAAGCTAGATCTCAGGAAAGTTGAAATGTTGGAGAATAATATCACACAGCATGGCTTAGCCAAAAGATAAGGGGAAAAAGGGTGAGGAAAAAGGAATATTAGTACCACACATGGGAGTGGGGAAAGCTAGTTCCATACCATAATCATTAGGTTGTGGAATAATGATGCTTATACGTTGTATTGAGTTGTTTTGCAGTCAACAAAAGTTTGGAAGAATCATCAAAAACAGATAATCCAAACTACCAAAACCTGCCTTTTTCCCTTCATTTTGTGACCATTAATATGATTTTTCCATCAAACCCCAAGCAGCAATGATGAACTGTTGGCCAAAACGGCCTCTTATTTTAAAAATTGGCTCAACGCATGTGCGTTGTCTTAAAAATTCAACCCATTTAACTTGCTGTCGTCCTTGGTACTTAAAAAGTTTCAAAGAAATAAGAACAAATTGTGTGTAAAGAATGGTAAAGCAGGCATTTAAAATATTTGCACAACATCATCTCAATTTGCCTTAATGATGGTGAAGTGTTTAACTTCTTTTGCGATGCTTTCAGTCCGTACCATTCTCTGTTTTAAAACCAGGCACCAAAAGGACATATAGAAAAATAAAATTAGGTAATAAAACCTCCAGAATGGCCACCATAAAACATTTCCCATTAGAAGTACAGGTAGTTTCCAGTTCCACCAACCTTTGAACACACAAATGTAATCATTTAGCAGCCACTGGCCAGCAACTGGATTTTATTTATATATAATGCAGTAGGCTCAAGTGGGTAAAATTCGACTTCCTTGATAGTTCACCATCATCTTGGCATTGTTCTAGTTTTTATCAGATGTTCATAATTACGATGACGACAGTTCACATTCAGCTAAAAAAAGGGTCTCTAATCAATATGGCATGCAGCCTAGTCATTATAACGGGTAACCAAATCATACACATGACTGCGATTAACTTCATTTTCGCTTCTTATTACAGTCTGATGCAATGAATGCCAATAAGAGAAATGTGAACAAAAGTTAAAGTAAAGGAAGAGGTAGATAATTAATCTACAGTGTTCTGCTTTTGTAAGGCATTTATATCTCATTGTAGGGAAAAGAAGGAGCGACCAGCCATGCATACAATGTTAGCTTTACAGAAAGTCTAGCCATGTCGATTATATAGGAGACCCACATCAAATCCTGCAATCATGGTGGTTAGAGAGGAAAAGGTTAAAAAAAAGAGAGGAGAGCTAGGATGGCAATTGCCTATGATATGTGATGCAATAATGGCTCTAACCCTACTTCATATTAATATGGAAAAAATTTCCATAGTAGAAAAAAAGAAAAAGTTTGTCTCATTTATGGTAATGATAATGACAATGATGTTGATGAACACGATGTTAACATTGCAAGATTGGTGCCTGTTTTTGTTCAGAGTTCTTGGCTTGCATTGCATGGTTGTTTGGTGACAATGACATTGATTCATGATTGTAGCGATGACTGCATGAGTAGTTTCAAGTCAGATTAGGGGATTGCAATTTTGTTATGTTTTATCGTATCATTTACAAGCACTTGAACGATCAATCAACCTGGTCACACCCCTCTCTACATCTCTGTAGTTACTTAGCTTTTTCTTAAGAGCTAGAGCGGATTAATTAATGGAAAGTCTTGTTATTAACTTGAAAACCTTTGAAATTTAGAATCATATGCGGGATGGACTAAACCCTTTCAAGGATTTTGTTTTCTGATATTTCTAAATGCAGTCATCATTCTGCACTTTTTGTGCTCCCCAAGAAACGTCTCTTACCTGATCTACCTGCTTAAATTTGTATAATCTGATCATTTGAATATTATTTATGCATGGAATATTTCGTATTCAAGCATTCTTTTCCAAAGAGAGAGAATCGTGTTTAAGTTAATCAAGCGATTAGTAAATTTGAACGAAATTTCCCAAGAATCAATCAATGATACGGTAGAGAGCCCTTGTGCAAATGACAAACTTTAGTCAATGGTGAAAATGGGGCACCCCTTCTCATAACAAAAGCTGATCATTAACTTAAATTTATTTATGGCTCTGCCTGTCTACATCTACTTTAGGTATATGAAGAGCTAATGCATTTTGCACCAAATTCTTGCTTGAGAAAGCAAGACATCTACACTCATGCTTAATTAACAAGTACGTTCACTCGACTAAGCTTTACCTTTACTTCCATCAAATGTTCATCAATTCCCCTTGTTTGGCGTGGAATACAAGCTTTTGACTGAATTTTCTTGCGCGACTTTCTTGGATAATGATTGAACTTCAAGGGATTGGGTATGGGTGTTCTTGCAGAAGGGTGGGAAGAGAAAGAGAAAAGGGATTTGGAAAGTTAACAAAGACCAAGTCAAAAGTAGTTTTTATGATGCAAATTTGGGAGAAGATGAGGAGAAGCTAGACATTAGTACCCTACCCCACAGTTCGTATCATTTCTTTGCAAGATGGATCGTTAATGGAGGAGGGTTCATCCCCCATTCTCAATGGTAGTTACCCATTTGACTGAGTGATGATATTGAAGAAAACACAAAGCAACAGATTCAAAAAAGTTTAAACTTTTTCTACCATAAATGGTCAATAAACAAAGTGCAAATCATAGTGATAATGTATAAAATTATGAATTAATGGTTCCCCAAATATGTTCAAGTTTCCAGGTTGCAGTGGTAGAGCTGTGTATACTTGCTCGGACGCTGGTTGACTCAAGGCACTATGTTTTTGACTTAAACCAAAAAGGGCGTACCATTGTCTGCCACGTGGTCAATATACTCGAATATTAAATGTTATCTTAGTCGTCCTTTGCCGATTTCCTTGACTTCACGAGTCAAAGAAATGGACCGAATCAAGGTGCGAAGAGATGAGAAGAGTAAGTGAGAAAGGAGCTGGTCTAGCAATTTCCAGCATTTGCATGGAAATATATACTTCATTAATAGTATATAATTTTCATTAATTAATTCTCATAAAAATTTTGCATACAAAGGGAAAGTGGAAGAAGAGCCTCCTCCATTAGCAGAAATATTTTTTTTCATTTCACGGCTGTCAACCACCGAATATATTAAAATTAACGGTGGAGCAGCAAAAAGAGATGGCCGAAAAGGCAGAAAGAGGGGCCTGCAAGAAAAGAAAAGCAGCTAGCTCAATTTAGTAATCCGGTACACATCCAGAACATTTAACTTATTAATTAATAAGTAATCTCTTACTTAAAAAAAACATCGAAATCCCTTGTCTTAATAAAATTAATAATCCGGCATTTTTGTAATTAACTCCTTTTATTGAGAAGCCAACGTCATGTTACGTCTGAAATAATTGTTTTTCTGTCCTTCCGGGAACATATAGCCCAGCAAAGTACTGCTTCACAGCCCCAGCTGCATCCAATAAAACACGTTTCTCTACTGCCCAATGGTTTTGGGTGTAGACATTTGCTGAAGAGGCAGAAATTATCAACCAAGGCTAGGCAGGCGGGCATTCATCAGCTATACATACGCATTCCTGTTGAATCACAACCATCTCGCTAGGCTCCATTCTGGTTTTAATGGCCCTGCATGAGATGCAATCTAGGTGCCCCGGCTCACTCACAATGGTTTCACCCATGCTCTAGTACTATAAGACTATATTATCCACAGCTTTTCCATAAGGAATATACTAAACTCGGGTCTTAAGGGTTGAGGTGAGCTTCTAGACTCTCATTAACAAAGATACATGGAAAAAATATATAAACAAATACACAACTTTGGTTCAAATTTTCTTGGTTAAAATGTTGTAAACAAATTCCATAAAAGTTGAAATGCAGCTGAAATTCCAAAATAAAAGCAAAATTACAAAGAAGGCACAGATGTTACATGCGCAGGAGTGTTTTAAGTTACACATTGCAAATGACTGGAGGATCACAAACATTTGTTGAATTCACGGGCTATTAGCACACACCACAAAGTCCTATTAAAATCAATATTCCACAATAAAAGGAATGTGATCAGAACTGCCATATCGGTTCATTACTTCATTTTTTACACATAATGCATGTTATGCAAGATATCTGTGACCTGCTAATACATGTTCCTAGTGGCTGCAATGAAATACAAATAAAGTACGTCAACCTAAGACCATAAACCAGTTTGGAATTTCTAGTTGTAAAGAAGAAATTAAAAAAAGATGCATGTTAAAGAATGATGTCCACTATCTCTCCATCCCATTCTTCTTACACAAAAACCTAAAGCTCTCAGTACTTTCCCCTCCGAAGCATAATTTATTAGCAGCTACTATTATAAGACAACCAAAAGCTACTTGAACTTATCTAACTAAAAGACACATTCAATTTTGTCCCCGAAATTCCTGCTTAAAATATCATACAATCAACACATTAAGGCAAACAGCCTGGGCAACCAATTATGTGGCTACAATAGAAGCTAATTTGTTTCATCTACTCCTTAAGACACTTTGTTTCCATAGTGAACACAAATAAAGATAGATGTTAAAAACCACAAGGTTTTTAATAGTGATCTAGCAGAAAGAGAGATTAGAGTACAAGACTTCAATTATAGCTTATCCTGTTGTTCAATATGTGTAGAATGTGGTCAAAATTAAGTTTCCCCAGTCCCAAAATTGGGAGAAGAAAAAAGAAGTCGAATAGCATGCTGAAACATACCCATTGTATCAAGAAGACGCAGGATGCTTGCTTGAGCAAGTCCCAATCAGCGAGATCCATTGTACAGACCAAGCAATGGTTTTTCTCTCTCCTCAACTCTCTTCCTTGCAGCTTCCCTTGCTTTTAGTGCAGCTTCCTCTTCTTTAGATATAGCCTTGGGCTTCTCATCTTGCCTTTTTCTCTTAACAGCAAGCGATGATGGAGCACCTTTAGCAGATCTCATGGGATTTAAAGAAGCTGAAACGACAGCCCCAGGTGCAGCCTCATTTTGACTTTGAGCAGCACTTCTGCTTTCTGCAACTGGTCGCACCCCTGAAGTTGGAAATGACTTTTTCAAACTAGGATCTTTTGATTTAAGATTTGCTGAAACTTGAGTTGTGGAGTATGCCTCTTCTCGTGTCACCCACCTGCCTGTTGCATTCCCTCTAAGTAAATATACCACAAATAACACATAATCTAATAGATTATCTCAGAGAAGAAAGAAAGTGAAAAACTTTAAAGTCCAATTGCAGATTCATACCTATAGCATCAGAATAGTAAAAGCCTGACTTTGGATCATGGTATAAACCATTGCTTTGATTGTAGTAATAGCCTGAACTACTGTCATAGTCCCAGTCTGCATCAAACTATATCAATTAGAACAGCACTAAACTCAATGTAAAAATGATACAGAAACCAAATAAATATCATATGCATTCAGATAATAATAATAAAAACTGCCCAATTTGTAAACCAAAAATAAGACATTGGACCTGATAGCGATTAAGGCCACATTCATCAGGCCTACTTCTTGGGCATCAACTACCAAGTTAGCACAAAAACAAAAGTTAAGCAGGGTCTGCATGGCATCTTTTGCAGTGTGATAGAAGACTAAGCCTAAAATCTAAAGTAAGTTGTGTACCAAATATATCTAGGGTAATTTTAGGGAAAAAAAAAACATGGGAAACCACCAAAGACAAAGAAACAGGTGAAGTGACTTTGGACCAGAACGCAACCAATAAGTGTATTGGCACAACAGAATGTGTTGAACAAGACTCATGCTCATGATTCAAATAAGTGAAATAAAGAAACTAGATAAGACATTCATTTTTATGTTATAATCCAAACTCCACAGCTCCACTGGTAATCATAAAAAACTTACTAACAAAGACAATAGTATATGATCTGGATGCAACATAATCATATGCTTAACATATTCCAAAATCTTAGATTACAACCATAACAAGTATCTTAAAAGATTGGAAGTTGAAGATGACTTGTACTTACCTTCTCGACCATCTAATGCTTGAGCATTAGAATCACTTGCCTCAAAGTTTGCAACATCCTTCTGATAACTCCGCTTAGCTTTCTGGTAAACATTGTTAAGTGATAATAATTATTAAAACAAGCAAAAGGCATAAAGCAAAACCATATAGAAGGTTAGGTTACTTACAGCTTCAATTTGTTCAAGTGCACGGACCGCTTCCTTCTGTTCTTTCTCTTTGGCTGCACTCTCTTTCCGCATGGTAGTAAGCCTCTTAGCAACATTTTCTTTGTGCCGTTGACCAAGCTCATGGTTTCGAATACTTGATGGGTTATTCGATATGAAGATTTTGCAGAAATCACACCATTTATTACCCTGACTCACCCAATACTGAACACAAGAAGAAAAAAATAAATAAATTAATGCAAATACAGGCAAATATCTGGGCAAAAACAAAAGAAACTACAAAACAATAAAGGAGCTTAATCCATTGAAAATTTTACTGTAAATTAATAACGACATACAATGTAGAAAAGAAATCAGGGGATTCATCCATAATCTCAAGCATTAAAAAAAAAAAAAG